TATCTATGAATGGGGGATTTCCTGAATGCCTCATATTTTTAATATTAAATATTTATTATTCTTTCCCTTTTTTTTTTGAAAAAATAAATAATGCCAAGAAGTAATAGGCCAAGCTCAAGTCTTTTAAGTAACAAATGATTAATTATAATACTTTTATTTTATTTTATGCACATTACTTAAAAAACAAATTTAAGAGTCTATTTTCTTGAACTCGGCTTGAACTTGAAAATTCAAGTTTAACTTGAGTCTGCTCAATTTAGAGAATAAAGTAATAAAAGGAATGATTCAAATAAATGAATAAAATGAATGATTGGAATGATTCAAATAAACAAATAATATGAATGGTCAGATAAACGATAAAACAAATAGAATGAATAGGTTGAATAAAATAAGTAAACAAAACAAATAAAATGAATAAGAAACAAATAAGTTCAAATAAAAATGAATGAATAAATGAATAAGCTACAGAGTAAATCTCAATTTAGCAGACTTGATTTGGTGGATTCTCGTTTTACAGATAAAGTTCAAAGAACAGTTCCATAATAAACCTTAATCAAAAACCTTCCCAATATAGTGGATATCTTGGTTTAACAGATTTTTGGAAAATTTTCCCTAATTGTCCAAACTATCCACTAAATCAAGATTCACTGTGTAATAAAACAAATAGTGAATGCAGAAAAAAAAAACAGAATCTCATAAGATTATGCATGTGTACTGTAGCTCCTTGAAGTAATATTGTAAAATAGTAAATTATAAATCATGGGAAACGAACATATAAATCGGAAATGATTTACATGTATCACAAAGTGAAAATTTGGAAATCGATTATATATCACGGAATAACTCAACAAGAAATAAATCAGTACAATTTAATAAATGTTACACTAATTAATAAGGCGCACAAATCAATAAATAGCTCTCGGAAAATAACCCGAATATTGGAGATCAGGGCTGGAAATAGGGTCTGAAAAAAAAACAGAAATTCCTCCTGAATGCTAAGAATTTTCCGGAAGAAAAATTTAAAAAAAGGAAAATTTTTTGGGTGCTAAAATTTTTTTCAAATTTAAAAATTTTCTTTATTTTATACTTCTGTTTTTACTTTGAAGAAGATTACTAAGAGCATCACTAAAATCATAACATAATAAATCAGCACCTTCTAAACCAACCATCATTAATAAGTGCAATATGTCATTTTACATTGCATTACATAAATCTGTTTTGTTTGCTAAAACTCTTTCACAATCTACACTAGAAAATGGAATTGAGTGCACTATTTCTATAAGTTTTAAAATATAAATAAGACTTGGAGGTTTGGAAATTGGAATATTTCCTTTTGCAATCCAGTAAATCATTTTCATTATATTAATTATATGTTTGTTACCATTAGTGGTTTTTTTTTGGAAGAATCTTGCATGGTTATTCTAGAAGCAAAGAGCCATTATGTTGGTTTGAAAGTGCATGAGTTGCTAGAGTGGTAGATTTTGAAACACTCTTTGATCCCAAATAATAACATTATAATATAAGAATTGCAAAATGCAAAATTAATTATATTTATTTGTCGCCTTTTCCTGCAAATAGATTTTTTTCCACATGTGCTTTACAAATTGTGCAAAATATTCTCTTTATTGCTGCATCATATTTTAACCATTTATATATGTTTAGCCATTCATGCTTAAAACCTCTTCCTGATTTTTAAAATTCACTTTTTTATTTGACATTTTAATATGATTTGATTTTTTTGAAGTATCATCATCATCTGAGCTTGAATTGTCAAATCATCCAAACCTTCTATATCTGATTCATCAATATTTATTTTATCTATAAAACACTTCACCCAAATTTCAGTAGCCAAATTATCTAATCCTTCTTATTCTATACTATTTATTTATAATTTATTTTTTTGAATAAGGGAAAACAAATACACATAAATTCATATTTAAGTGTATATATTTTTAAATTTAATAACTTAAAATTCAAAAGATACAAATTATGGTACTTTTCTAAAATATTGAAGTAATAACACACATATGTGTACAGTATACATTATTTAGTATAAAATTTTTTTATGTGGAAGGAAATCTGTACAAAAAAATAAAAATAAAAATAAAAATAAAAGGAAAAATATCTGGCAACTCTTTTTTTTTCCAGAAGTTAAAATTTTTTAAAGAAAAATCCAGATTTTTAAAGTACTATTTCCAGCCCTGCTCCAGACATTCATTCCAAACCATCCTTCTAACTTTAAAGAATCAAAAGGATTTTCATTCATTTCCCACAAACACAAAATTCCGTGATAAGCAGTATTGATATACTCAAGGCAGAAATGAATATCCCGATTATATTCTTTGTTGTCAGGTACAAATGATTCAAAAAAAAGTGATCTTAATTTTTTAATATCATTAGTTGTGTATTTTTTCAATAACTCCTTTTGACAAGGGTCAAGTTTTGGTCCATTTGTAACTTCGAAAGTTTTAATTTCTTTCCATTCATCAGGTGAAAACAATGATATTGTTTCGACATCAGCATCATTGATTATAAAAGAATGAAGATATGATTCTTTGTGTAGTTTTTTAGCGAATTCATAAATAACTGTTTCCACTTTGCACCCAGTTTTCAGGGTCCACATACAATCAGGGTCCATAGCTAAGTAAGCTTCTTTGAATTTTCTCAAATCTAACTCAATGGGCGATGTATTATACTCATCATAAGTGTACTTGTTATCAATGTAACTGTCATTAAAGAAGGTTTCAGGATCTTCACAAGCCACATCAAGAATTGGGTCTTTTTTGGATTCAGTTTGACCATTTGATTTCATCTAAATCATAAGATAGAAAGACAAAAATGACAATAAGTTATTTGTTGCTTGAAGAAATTAATAATATACAGAGCCACTCAGCCCACCCTTTTAGTTGAACAGGTTGCAGATGTTTTTTCTTTGATGCTTGTGTCACCGATTAAATTTGGGAGAGCGTATTTTAATTGGTGATAACAATTATTTTTGTTTTGTGTGGATCAGAATGAATAGGGGATCAACGAATTGATTTTGTTATTAGCGAATAATTTTGGTTAAAGAAGATAAAAGTTTATTTAAATAAAATATTACTATTTTATTTATTTAGTTTTATTTAGTCGAATCTAATTAACTTGTTATCAAGTTACTTTTACATTAGGTCGAAATCAAGTTCTTTATATACATGTTCATTTACATATTCGCTCAGATTGCGCGAATTCGCTCACTTTGTACTTGGGCGAATCCGCACGTTTTGAGCGATTCCACCCGTTCTGGGAGAATCGTCATTAATCTCTACTAAATAAAGTTAAATAAACATGAATGTGCTAAGGATTGATTAATAATAATAAATATGCGAAACGTAACACGAATTCAGATGATAATAAATAATTATACACGTTATTGATTAAAAATGGAAATAATAAAAATAAAAATAATAAAAATAAAAATAAATAATAGATTAAATAAAAATAAAAATAAAAATAAAAATTTAAATTTAAATTGTCCCGAAGTTAAAAGATTTGACCAAAAGATCTGCGTCAAAATCTAATTCCGGTAACACTTGGTTGTTCATGAATATTATTATCGAAACTTTCCTGAGAAATTATTGATTTTATCATTGAAATTCTATAGAAATACAAGATCAGTTAATGAAAAATAATGTTGGAAGCAATGTGAGCTTACATTATTCTCTCCTTTAGATAGACTACATCAGGAAAATGGGTACAAATATTATGCGTATATAATACACAATTGCAGGGATTAAGCATATAATATGCGTACAAATCGCATATTTTTTTATGTATGCAAATTGTACATATATTAAATGCTTAATCCCTGCAATTGCGTATTATATATGCATAATATTTGTACCCATTTTCCTGATGTAGAAGTTGGATCACAATCCTTTGGTATTTTCCTCGCACTTTTGGTTCGACATTGATTGACTTTACCATTGTCCTAAGGGTTAAATTGCAGTCCATTTATAACAAAATCACAAAATAATAGAAGAATGCATACCTGCTGGTACTCCTTCCTGATCCCTTTTCTTTGAGGGCACCACAAACAGAAACATTGGAATTGTTTACATTACCAATCACACCGATCACATTACCATTTCCATTGATTGGCTGGTGTATGTGTACCTGCCTACTCAAGTGTTTCTCCTCACATACTTTTGCTCTTTTATGATCAGTTTGGGAATCCTAGCACAGAGAATTGGAATTAGTATCTTCACATTCAAACATCAAATTTTCATCCCACCAGAACACATTGCAACCTAGAAATCCACCTGTGCTCAAGTGGGTCAGTGCTGGATCAGCAAGAAGCCTTTGGCATCAGATAACTAAGTTAACTGTGTGCCAGCACCAGTTTCGTGGCTCAGCTAAAAACCTTGAATGACCAGCAACCTAGAAAGCCTCCATTCACACCACTTTTCTTTTAAATAAGATACAAAAGATTTATACTTGCCAATCTGTATTTTTCAAGAAGCACCTTTGCACTTTTCTGCCTGTTCCTTTGCTCCAAATTAGTGATTATTTCTAGGCTTTTTATATAACAATCTATTTTTACATCAAAAGACTCTTTGTCACACTTGTTTAAAAAGTCAAGAATGCTCCAGTTTGTGTGATCTTGGTTGAAGTATCCGTGTATGTAATTAGAAAATAAAACAAATCTATCATGATGTAATTGGTTTATTGGTGGTGTCACAATCTAATTAAGTGATGTCACATAATGTTGATCACCAAGATATTTTTTTTATGATCGTACAAAATAATAATTGTTTCATAATCCTACTAGTCTGTGTGAAAAAATGTCATGTCAATTTCATTTTCGAGTATGTTGTAGTGTAATATATCTAGTTTGAATGTATAGAGAGATTTTTGCTGTTAATAAATACCAGTTGTGTGACTAAAAATCACTAAAATCACCATATTGCAACAAGAATAATAAAAATCCATATTTTCATAATCCTACTAGTCTGTGAAAAAAAGTCATGTCGTTTTCATTTTCAAGTATATTGTAGTGTAATGTATCTAGTTTGACTGTATAGAGAGTTTTTTGCAGGTAATAAACATGAAGAGATAAAGCAGAACAAAAAAGCTTATACTCCCGAATTCATTGCTATGGCTACCAATAAGCACCTTTGGTCAAATATCTTTGGCATCTACAGCAGAAAGTACAAGAGAGATAATGAGTTTTCTGATAGGAGAACAATTAGATTCTTGGATGACAGTACTTACTTTACATTGATGGACTAAAGAAGTTGTCCAGATTGCAATAAAGGAGAATCTTCAATTATCCAACTGATATAGCTCATATGGAAATATGGTTGATGAAAGCACAAGAGGGGACAAAAAGATATTTTTGGTTTGTATATAATATTGGGAAGAAAGAAGGAAATTACCAATGCTTACCATATTAGGTATGAAAGATCTTGATCACTGTTCTGCTTCAACTGTTTCATCTAGTGTTCAGAAATTATTAGTAAACATTCTTTAGATCCATCTCTCTACCAATACTGGCTTACTGATAATACTGGATACATGTCTGGATTAAAAGGAAGTGCTGTTGTAGAATTCAATAAAATATTGAGAATTAATGTTGTTAGAATTCCTTGTGGTCTGCATGTTCTACACATATGCTCAACAATATTTGATAATATTACCTTTGGAAAAATCAATTCACCTTCTGGATTATCTTTGCAGCCCCATCCATTTAATGTTCTGAACCTTGCCTATCATCTTCATCATGGATATGATGAATCTAATAAAGATAATCCCCTAAATATGAAGTTGGAAACAATAAATAACTTGTATAAAGCTTTATTAAATTATGATCTAACTAAATATCAGAAACCAATATCCAGCAGATGGATGTATCAATTGACAACAGCAAAACAATATTTAGAAAGAAGATCTATTCATCAACAATTTACTGAATGGTTTATTCATCAATTAGAGGCAGTAAATAAGGTTCCCAATGGATATTTAAAGAAATAATATATTATTTCATGTTTCCACTTGTCATATAAAAAAATTTATATAAATTATAAAAATGAATATCTTGATGATACTTCTACTGACAAAAATGATGATGATGAATATTCAAATCAAGGAAAAGAAAAACATGGGAAATATCCAACCTGCAATAGATATTAATATAATACCAATCATGCATGGTATCAATCATGTAATTTAAAGTTATTGGCTGAAGGATGATGGACCAGTGGCATGAAACATTATGTGAGTTGATTCAAAGCACATTACTTAAAGCAACTGAGTATTGGAATTATTGTTATCTTCAATGGATTCCTTATAATGATTTAACAGATATTGAAAAGATAGGTGAAGGTGGTTTTGCAACTATATACAAAGCTACCTGGTTGAATGGGTTATAAACATGCAGATGGTAGTAAAAGAGTTGGTGAAGATAGGACTGTGGCATTAAAAAAACCAATAATTCACAAGTATTTCTGATGAATTTTTTAAATTATTTTAGTTTCATATTTTTTTAAAATATTATTGATATTAATTATTATTGCAAATAATTTATTTGTTATTTTAGTTCAAAACTTAAAAATCTCAGTTTTACAGATAAAATTCAAAGAACAGTTTCATAATAAAAACCTTCTTGATATAGCAGATATCTTGGCTTAAATGGATTTTTGGAAAATTTCCCCTAATTGCCCAAACTACCTGCTAAATTGAGATTCACTGTGTATGAAGTTCCATGATAAATATGAAATAATTAAAATTTATGGATTCAATTATAAAGAATATATTTTGTAATGCATTAATTACATGGAAGATGGAAGTCTTCAAAATTATTTTATTATTGGAGGTTTAAAAGATATTCATTCATAAAGAAACTATTCATCATGATCTTCATAGTGGTAATATTCCTCAAGGTACTGTTTATTCATATATTACACATTTAGAATTATCATATCCAGCTAGTCAAATATCTGCATCAAACAAAATGATATTGAGTACTACCATATGTTGCACCAGAAGTTAAGGTGGGAGTTCTATTTAATAATTTGGCACATGATCTAGACCTTGCAATGAAAATATGTGAGATTTTCAAACAATAGCATTTTTTTATACAAATAAAATGTGCAAAGGATGTTTGAATTCATGTTTAACAGCCCAATTTCAGTTTGCATAATAAAAATGTTTTGATTGATAATGATGTCATTTTTTATGATACTATGAAAGTCATTAATTAAAAATAAATAAAATACACAATCCTTTTTATCACTATAACAAACTATGCCCAAGGAATGCTGCCACTAAAATTAACTCATAATCCTAGCTAAACCTTTTGCAATTACAGGGTGTTAAGAAAAAAACGGCGGTTGGTAAAAATATTGTTTTTAATGAAAAAGTAGCCAAAATTATATGATGAAAATTATAACAGAGAATCGGAGGATCTTAGATTATAACATATGAAATTTTTGAAGCATGTTATTATGTAGGCTTTAGAGCAATTATTAAAGAAATTTACACATTAAATTGTTTTTTTCAAAATAATCAAATTCCTTTTATTTCCAATTGACAAAATTCTAGAAAATCTGGAAGTATGAAAGTTTATATATATAATCTCCAGAACTTTCATTACACACCGGTATAATTTTTTGTATGATTATTATGTATATTTTTGTGTCAGGCTTATTATTAAAAATTTATGTGTTAAAATTTCAGAGACAAAAATTTTGCAAAGTTTTAAAAAAAAGATATGAATTAGCTTTACAGAAAATTGGCAATAGCATATCATGTCTATTTTTTTTATTTAACAAGGTA